CGTCCAGGTGAAGAATGTGATGAAGACGTCCCCTCAGACTCTGTCCAACCTCTGCCTGAAGATCAACGTGAAGCTGGGGGGCATCAACAACATCCTGCTGCCTCACCAGAGGTCAGCCTCTGCAGGGTCAGGACTCTGGAAACACTGTGTCGTCTTTATTTAACAGGTTTTTATTTGTCCTCAGACCGTCGGTGTTCCAGCAGCCAATCATCTTCCTCGGAGCAGACGTGACTCATCCTCCAGCTGGAGACGGGAAGAAGCCTTCTCTGGCGGCGGTGAGACTTCCTGTCAGCGGTTTCTTTTTCCCTCCAGGTCCAGGAGCTCGTTCTAACCCCAGACTCTGCTCCTCAGGTGGTGGGAAGCATGGACGCCCACCCCAGCAGGTACTGCGCCACAGTCCGGGTCCAGAGACCCCGGCAGGAGGTCATCCAGGACCTGGCCTCCATGGTCCGAGAGCTCCTGATCCAGTTCTACAAATCGACCCGCTACAAACCCACCAGGATCATCTTCTACAGAGACGGCGTGTCGGAGGGCCAGTTCAGACAGGTGGGGCTTTTACTCTGAAAGTCTGCTTTTATTTTGAAGTGTTGTCGTGTAAAGGTATAGATATATATATAAAGGCTAGCTAAGTCGTCCCCGCTGTTGGCCAATTGAGACACACGTCCTCACATGGCGGCCATCTTGGGAGAGGCAGCTGGCCCACTCTGAACATGAATGTGTGTGTTTACTATTTAAATAATCATAACCTGGTCAACTTCAGATTTTCAAACATTTTATTATTGTAAAGGTTAGATATGTTGTTATAAAATGGACATTCATATAATAATTATGTTATTTTGATAGGTAAAGTCATATCAATATATACACAGAGTACATTAAGAATACTTTTACAGGTTTTACAAATAAAAATATAAAGCAAAATTATACACAAGTCTATAAAATAGTTAAATAGCACAGGAAGTGGTAATTAATATGAAAGAACCTGTTTTATATATATTTTATATTTTTCCTCAAGACGTGCAAATATGAGCCTTTATAGTTCTTTTATATAATAAAACAGTGCCTTACACACACACACACACACACACACACACACACACA